AGAGAGAGAGAGAGAGAGAGAGAGAGAGAGAGAGAGAGATGCAACAATTCAAAATGAGCACTGACTTTGATTTTGTACAAAATGAAAAAAAATATATTGAAAATGAAATTCAAATGTGTTTCCCTGTGGATACATAAAAATTAAGTTTCTGTCCATTTACCATAATACACAAACATGGGTATTGTGATATTTGGATGGAATAATTGAGATGGCCTCACTTCAAATATGAGCTTTGTGGAGTACATGAAATTCCCTTGGGAGTGCCCCAAGGGGCCCTCAGAGTACCTAACAGTCTTCTTCCAGGCCAGACAAAAGAGAAGTGTCAGGAGGTGGCCATTCACCTGCTAATGTTGGAAGACAGCAGAGACACAGAGAGAAGGGCTCCAATATGAGCCCCACCTGGAAAGACACATTGCAGATGGCAGGCAAGGAGCTGTGGTCTACATATGTGACTACTTCCCTCTACCAGGTAGGGGATCTGGGTTGATTTATTTAATAATAATTCCTAATTTTTCCACGATACATGAGCTGATCTGTTAGTGATGTCATTCAATGCCAAGTTCCTTTTAATTCAAATATACACACTGCCAATCTTCCACTTGGAAGCTGCTACTGTTTTATAATTGGTGACCCAAGATAGATCTTTTTATCTCCAAGTTCTACACAGCACCTGTTTCAAGCACCTTTCAGGTGTTACAGCTTCCCCCACCAGCCAAACCTTTCCACTTCTTATTATTCCTCCCTCTGGCTTCAGGAATTCCTGGCATTTAAAAGTTGACAGGATCCTAGAAAGCAGCAATCCAACTCTAACCTGAGAAGCAGGATCCATGGGGTCCAAGAGATGATTTATTTTGCTGAGGGCTACTCAGTGAGTTAGTGGCAAGATTTCAGGTCCACCTCTGCCTGCTACACTGTCTTAAGTCTCCTTATGTCCATATTCACTTATAGGGTGGCCTACTGATGGTGACTCCAATGAATCAAATGTTCTCTTCCAGGTCTTTTTGGAGAAGTGTCTCTTCTAGGTCTCAGACTTCCTGTTTAGACTAAATTCAGCAGGAATTTGGGTGTGTTATGTGATTGATAACACAAAGGAGTGCAAAAACACCATCATCCCTGCTATGTAGGCTGGGAGGAGCCAGAGGGAGGGGAAAAGGAGGAAGATATTTTCAAATGATCCAAATAACCCTGTAGTAAATTACTGAAGTGGCTACTTTGTAAATATCAGTTGTCTGAGTGAGAAGCCATTTCACTCACACCACCCCTGCCCCAGGTTTCTAAAAGAAACCAACCGATAGTTCTTCAATAAAGAAAGTGGAAATGGCTTAATTTCCAAGAAGTGGAAGTCCCAAGCATGCAAACTTTGACCATCAAAAAACAAGAAGTTAGTACGGAAATGTTCTTTCTAAAGTTTAATTTTTTTCAATCAAATATCTAAACACAGAAGTGGTGCAAGTCCAGAGTTCATGGATACAAGTAATTACAAGTTTCTTAATGAACTTTGGACTTGTCAGAGCTCTGAAGGTATTTTCCTGCTGTAGAGGGAACTTGGATGATAGCAGCTAATTGAGCATATGCTACTCTATTGCCTAACAGAATTCAGAGCGTGTTTTTCGAGCTATAACAATTTGGTCTGTGCAAATTGTTAGGAGGGGAAGTTTCAGAAACCTTGCAAAATCAACAAAACCCTCCCTAAAAGGGCCAGGTCTGTCAAAGACACTTGAGAACATGAGGAAATGTCACTTCATCTCCTCAGAGTGGAAATCATGTGTGCATACTCTTGTGGTCTAAGGCTTCTTGCTTCTGAAAAATTGTAATTCCTCTAGAGAGGTGGCAGGGGCAATGTCGAGCACAAGAGTCTGGCCATTCAATGGGTGTGATAAATGTGCTATTTTTGCTCAGGAACAGGCTTGGCCAGATGCACCCCACAAGCCTGACTCATGAAGCTTGAGGGAATGTATGAAAGGGTTTGATATGGTGTTCCTTAAATATTCATGGTACTTCCCTTAGAAGTACAGGCTGTGAAGTGGGAAGGGGCAGCAGTATGCTAAGATAAGAGCATTTCACAAAATGACCATAATTGCAACGCAGGCAGGCCCTTAAGATACTGCTGCCTGGTTGGGCTCAGTGGCACGGGCCTGGAATCCCAGCAGCTCCGGAGGCCGAGGAGGGAGGATCTCCAGTTCAAAGACACTCTCAGCAACCTGGCAAGGCACTAAGCAACTAAACAAGACTTTGTCTCTACATAAAATACAAAAAGGGCTGGGGGATGTTGCTCAGTGGTTAGGGAGCCCGTGAGTTCAATCCCTGGTACCAAAAAAAAAAAAAAGATACTGTTGCTACCCAGACACCAGACACCAGTGCTATCAAGGAAATCAGATCTAGATTCCAATTGCTGAGATGGAGGTAAGGGTAGAATCAGCCTTAATAGTTTGTTTATTGGATAAAAATACTTCAGACAATCTCAGGGGACCATGAAAAACCAGGATACAGAAAGGTTCCAACAGGACCTCCAGAAAAGGTGCAAGAGGTCACCAAAAGTCCCTGCAGAGATGTCCCAGAGGACCTGGGGGGAATTAATCTTTGGATGCCAGAGAGGAAAGCCTTTGTCTCACGTGTGAGGCCAGGGCTCCAGTTTTGAAGCCCAAATATAGAAAGAAATTCTGGAAGGGCCATACTTGACTGTAGGTTCAAGTATGAATATACAAGCCTTTCAGAAACAAAATAAAAAGGAGTCAGAAATGTGGTTGGTCTAGTCCAAGTAATACTTTCATATAAGTCTTGGGCTTCTTTTCTATAACTTCCCAAACATTTGCCAGTTTTATTAATTCTTGTTTGCTCCCATCTCCTTCCATATAGTTAGTGTAAATTCTGGCAATGGAAAAGAGCCTATGCAATGTGCTCCAGAGATTTAAAAAAAAAAAAAAAAAAAAAAAAAACTTGGATTTCCCAGTGCCCCAGTTTCTCTGTTTGTAAAATAGGAACATTCGACTGCATGATGGACTTCAGAGAGAGCATGAGCTTCCTCCACTACTTCACCCTCCCCTTGATGCTTTCCCCTGAAGTGTGGTCTGGAAGCCCTCTGGCTGGAATTTGTCAGGAGCCCCCCTCCAGCAATAGTTTTAATATGGCAGCAGATCTGAAAGAAGAGGAATGCAAGCTAGACTCCTGAATCCTGCAAGAATTTCCAAAAGGAGGATTGGTCTGGAGTCCAGAAACAGTGCAGAGGCACAGCCACCTAGATGGAGTCCAAGTCCCCCAAGGGGACTCCAGTAAAGAAGTTCTCAGGTTAGAAAGAACACAACTATGTGGAGTAGAGCTAAGCTAAGCTGAGAAGTTTAATGACAGACAAACCCAGAGGTTTCTACAGAGCAAGGGCAGCATTTGAACACATGCACAAATCCAACCTTTTTCCGTTGTTGCTTTTGCTTTTCCCTGAAATCTTCCATCTTCCTGGCTTCCTCTCTTAGAGTCTGTGCAAGATGAATGTGACATTGGGCCACATTGTCTACTTCTGCAAAAAGAAATTTTAATAAAACAACAATCAAGTTCTAGATGCCTCTAAATTCAAATATACAAAATTATGCATGCACACACGTACACACACATACACACACACATAAAATACTGGAGCAAGTGGTAGAGTCAAGAAAACTTCATTTAGTCACCAACATGTATTGAGTTCCTTCATGTGCCCAGCACTACCCAGGTCACCAACAGCAAGACTAGAAAGTCTTTAGCTTAGCCTCATGTCCCTACCAGTCACTAATCTAGTGTGTGCCCAGGGCTGGAGAGAAAGAGTCAGCCAAGTTATAATTCATGAAGCTTGCATCCCAGGAGACATTATTACCATTAACAGTTTTAAATCTGATTCTTCATCCTCTTTGTATAATCTATTGGGTTCTTTCCATCTCTAATCTCTTATGAGCCTGAACATTTATAAGAAAGATTGTACAACAAAATTTTGGCTTCCCATAGTTATATCTGAGTAGAAAGATAACTGGTGACTGTTTTTCCCCTTGTTTTTGAAGGTCTTTACAATGAGCATGGCTTGCCTTTTTAATAGAAAAAAAGTAAGTTTTTATTTCACTAAGAAAACAAAGCATGGCATTAAATCTAGCAAGATTGACAAATCTGATCTAAAAAAATGTTTTTTAAACTGGGGTATCAAAATAACCTCAAAGAATGCTGGAAGACACACAAAAAGTTCTCAATTTATATAACAAGAAATAGCTATATTAAAAAAAAACTTTTATGAATAGAAAAGACTTTTGTATTAAAATATAGATAAAGAGCATGAAATTTAAAAAAGAGTGGTTAAATGTGCAATATACATTTGAAAATATATTCCACCTTAAAACCACTGAAAAAAATGCAAAACCTTAAAGACCCAGAATATGTCATTTTTTTTTTTACCTTTCAGTTTTAAAAAAGAATTTAAAGCAAGAAAATTCTGGGTATTGGTGAGGATAGGGGAAAATAGCAGTGTTGGTGGGGAAGAATCAGCACAACCATTGGAGGAAACCTGGCATTTTATAGAGAAAAAAAAAATTAAATGTAAAAGAATGAGGCAGAGCTATGGAAACTGAAATGGAAAGCTGTCTGTGATGTATTGTTAAGTAAAAAAGTAAATTATAAAGAAATATGTATAGGATGATTTTGTAAACAAATTTACTTACGTCCAAATGTATATGTGTGTCTAAAATTTAAAGAAAGAAGGAAGAGTGGGACATAGCAGTAGAGCACTTGTCTACCATGTACAAGGCCCAGACTCAAGCTACAATACCACAAAAGAAAAAGGAAAGAAGAAGGGGGTAAATGCATAGAAAAAGGTTTAGAAAGCTATATATCAAATTATTATCATGATTTAAATGGATGTTTTTATTTTTAAGGGAACTTAAAAACATATGCTCAGGTCTCAGAGATTCTGAACCACTGCCATGGTATTATGATTATTATGTATATAAAGAGATACATATATTATACATACATATTATAATTATATTAAAATATCCAGTGGCATATTCAACACTGTGTATGACTGAGAATTGAAAATTTCACCATATACTATTTTCTTTTTTTATATTTATTTTTTAGTTTTAGCTGGACACAATATCTTTATTTTATTTTTATGTGATGCTGGGGATCGAACCCAGTGCCTCACGAATGGTAGGCAAACGCTCTACCTCTGAGCCACACCCCCAGCCCATATATACTATCTTCTTTATAGTTGGTTGTCTCACTTGAATTTTAAATACAAATAGGTAATCTTAACAAGAAGAAAATAAATCTGTTTTGTGAGAAAATAAAAGTAACAGCAAAAAAGTAAATATTGGGCTGGGGATGTGGCTCAAGCAGTAGTGGCTCGCCTGGCATGCGTGCGGCCCAGGTTCGATCCTCAGCACCACATACAAACAAAGATGTTGTGTCCGCCGAAAACTAAAAAATAAAATATTAAAATTCTCTCTCTCTCTCTCTCTCTCTCTCTCTCTCTTTCTCTCTTTAAAAAAAAAGTAAATATTTAGGAAAACAGACTATACTGAATTTTCCTGGGCTATGTCATATCCTTAATGTTACAGTGCACATAGAGAACATGTCAAACATGGTAGCGTACACCTATAATCCCAGCAAATTGGGAGGCTGAGGCAGGAAGATCACAAGTTCTGTGCCAGCCTCAGCAACTTAGTGAGGCTCTATCTCAAAATTAAATTTAAAAAAAAACAGAAAGGCTAAGGACATGATTCAATGGTTAAGCACCCCTGGGTTCAATCCCAGAAGAAGAAGAAGACAAACATGAAAAGATACTGTCTGTACCTTGAGAAATAGATTCATTGATGAGTTAAAGAAGGAAGAAGACACCTTCTATGGAAAGTTAAGAGGAATATTTATTTAGCTAACGTTTCACTTGTGACATTTGCATTTTGTCCATGGTTCCTTGGCTTATAACTCCCTCCCCAAGGAGGACCATGGAAACTCTAATCTTCCCCTGTCTTTAGCTGGCCATAAAGAAATTCTTAGACCTCCCTTGCCTGATAGTTGGTCACAAGACCATCCTCATTCCAGAAGGGTCCTGCCCTATACTCTGGAGGAAGGAATACTCCACAGAGGGGACAAAAAGAATCTGAATAAAGGAATCTTGTGGGGTTCCCCACTTGTCTACTAACAAGTGTGCCTAGGCAATGAAATTCCCACAAAAATCCAAAAGGATGGGGCCCGTGAGGTTCTGGATGGCTGAGCCCATAGAGGTTCCATGCTCAGAGAGGGCATGAAGCATACTCCCTCTTCAATAGCTTACCCTATTCATCTCTTCATCTATATCGTTTGTAATATCCTTTATTATGAAGCATCAACAACAAAGAAGTGTCTCCCTTCTGTGAGTTGCTTGAGCCAATTAACAAAACTTGCAACAGGTATCTAAAGTGGAGGAGGGGGTGCGGTCCTGGGGACTGAGCCTTCAGTCCAAAGCATCTGACACACTATCTTCAAGTTGATAGTGTAGAAACCAAATTGGATTCAAGACACCTGGCTGGTGTCCACTGCAGAAGAGATTTCTTCCTTGCTGGAGGAAGAAATCCTCCCACATCTGGCATCCAGAGTCTTCTGTGTTGGTGATTGTGGTGTGAGAGCAAAGGAAACAGATGCTGGGTTTGTTCTGACAGAATACCACTCAGCTAGCTACAGAAATCCTTCAACTAGCTACAGAAATCCTTCAAGCATATGTCACAAAGACTGTGCCTGTTAAAGTCCTTAACTTGGAGGTCCCAAGCATTCTTCAGGACAGAAGCCTCAGAAGCAGCCTCTGAGCACCAGTCCTGGTGAACACTAGAGCTAGACAGGAGACCCCTTGAAGAGCAAAGTCCCAGGCCTGACCCCAGGTTTCCCAGATCCTGACTGTCACCCTATTACGGTAATCAGAATTAAATAAAAATCTTCTGGGTGAATTCCAAGTTCTATTTGCAATCAAAGGCCACAATACTGAAACAAGAACTGGGAGATTAGCACACAGAGGACATCGTGGTTTGCACCTATTTGACCCCAGAAGAGATAAACCCTGACTCGGACATTGGTATTTCTAAAGACTTTCTGTTTCTGAATCAGCCTTGACCACTAAAGTGGAAGCTGAGTGTTTGTGCAAAGCAAGAAAATCAGCCCCAAACGTAAGGGAGCTCCCACCCACTGGGGTCTCTTCCTGAGAGGATGTGGGAGAAGGATGGGGAAAGGGCCTTGTCATATCTAGGATAGAGCAGCCTGACTTTGGGGAGAGATGAAAAAGTAAATAAAAATTAAGGAGACAGCAGGACAAGATGCAAAAAGAAGAGCAACCTCAGGCAGTCAGCCTAGAAGACTGGCAATTCTGTTGAAAAGTCTGAATTTAAAGCCTTTGAAACACACAAGAAGAAACATAAAGTAGGTGGTAGATGTAAGTACTGGTGCTAGGAGAGTTCTAGACTCAAGTACACATTAGTGCATTCTCTGAGTAAAGGCTGTAGGGGATGCTAGAGCCAGAGATGTGCTTATCTGGGCCGACTGAGGTGGGAAGGGCTAGGAGCACACACTGAGGACCTGTCACACTGAAGAGCTGGATTGAGAAGAGCTAAGAAAGGGGCAGTGGACTAGCCAGAGAAGCAGGAAGAACCAAGGGAGTCAGAAGGGAGGAGGGTTTTGGGATGGGAGGAAAGCTCAACAGTGCTGAAAGCTACTGAAGAGTCAAGAAGATGACCGCACTTGTCCACTGGACTTAGTGACACAAAGACTATTAGTGTCCTTGGAGAGGAAAGTTCCAGGAGGATGATACCGTTATGTGCCAGATTAGAGTAGCAGATAAGGAAGCCAAGATAATGTTTCCTTTGAGGCTTGCTGGAATTAAAGATTTCTGGATTAATGTGACGGGGGATCTGGGAAAAGTCTGAACAAGGCACTCACAACGTTGTCCCAGCCTTGAAGCCCTACAGAGGAGACTCTGGGAGGAGAAACCAGACTACACATAAGAATACACAAGGGGTTAGGTCAATAGACAAGTCTGGATGAGGACCTAGGTGCCTATGTCTCTGAGTTAGAATGAAGCAGTATAGACACAACCCTCTAAGGGTGTTATTCCCAGTATGGTCCCTGGCCCAGTGGCCTCAGCATCATCACTTGGAAATCTGCAAGACTTGTAGAATCCCAGACTCCACTCCAGATTTCAAATCTGATATTCGGGATGGCTCAGGAATCTTTGTTAATAATAAGCCCTCCAGGTGATTTCAATGCTCAACTCAAGCGTGAAAGGCACGTGGTGACATACAGGCTTGGAGGGTCCACCAGCTCATCTCAATTCTGAAAGGCTATTTCTCACCTTAGAAGTTGCTCTAATTTTTTTTCACCCAATATTAAATTGCTATTCAAATTACAACTTGCCTTTATGATACACACTGAGCTTATGAAGGACAGCATACAAAAGTTTTACAAATAACTTACGCTGCTTGAAGACTTCCAGGGCCCGCTTCAGGGTGCTAAAAAAGAAGCACATATATCATTTCAATTCTGGAAACTGTAAAATCTTATTATAATGCCTTTGCATACTTCTCTCTTCCCATGTATCTTAGAGCCTACAAATTTATCATTGCCCATGAACTTAAGAAAATAGCAACAGAAGAACAAAACTCCTTAAATCCAATTTCCTCAATCCCAAGCATAATCAATTCTTCACTGTCTACCTGGGCAAGTCAAGATTCCAAAACTATGCTTCATTTTCCTCAATGATAATATAGAAGTTGTGGTCCCTTTCTCATAAGAATACCAGTTGTTCTTTAAAGTATGTCAATTAGAAACACAGAAGCAAGGTAATGAGCTGGGGTTGTAGCTCAGTGGTAGAACACTTGCCTAGCAGGTGTGAGGCACTGGGTTCAATCCTCAGCACCACATATAAATAAATACATAAAATAAAAGTATTGTGTTCATCTACAACTAAAATAAATATTTGAAATTAAAAAGCAAGATAATAAAGGAAGTGTTCAAAGCCTAGCTCCTGATTGCCTCCCTTTTCATTCATTCAATCAATCATCATATACTTATTGACCATAAGCTATGGGCCATGCATTGTGTCCGATGTTGGTACTTCAAATACCACAAGACAGATATCATCCCAGACCTCAGAGTCTAATGAAGGAGATATTAAACAAATTGTACTGTATTCATTTTTTGACAGCTGCTTAAAAAATTTAGCAGCATAAAATAACACATATTTATTATCTCACAGTTTGTGTGGGTTAGCAATTGGGATATGGTTTAGCAGAATTCACAGGCTGCAATCAAGGTTGACCAGGCTGCATTCTCATCCGCAGGCTTGACAGAGGAAGACCCTCCTGATCAGTTCAGAATCTAAAGTTAACATTTTATTCTTATCCTAAACCATAAAATGCCTAAGAATGCTTTAATTCTAATTATCCTTCCTACTAGGTTATATAGTATTACCATTAAATGTTTTTGTTCCATTTTGCTTTTTTAATTCCACAAATTGAAATTGGCATGAATACCATTTCTTCAAAGACTCATGTTTGCCATATTATTTGCTCATTATTCCTTCTTGAACTTCAGATCTTTCCTGGATTAATTTCCTTCTTCTTGAGGAATACCCTTTAAAAGTTCCTTTATTGAAGATTTGTTTGTAATAGTTAACTTTTTGTTTGTCTGAACAATATTTGTTTCAAAACTTTTGCTTTTCTAAAACTACTTCTGTTATTTCTTGTTTCTTAGAAAATAATTTCTCTGGACATACAAATCCAGGTTGATAATTTTCTTCTAAGTGCTTTGAAGATATAATTCTACAGTCTCTGGCTTCATTGTTGCTATTGAAAAATCAGCTTTCACGCTCAGAAATGTTCATTAGTGGGTAATCATTCCCTGGGGAAAAATTATGACTTTCTTATTATCTGGGCTCTTAGTCATTTGGGCTATTCTTGTGTGCTTATTAATTGATCATGCTTGGGATTTGTTTTGCTTTCTGAATCTGAGGATATTCGGCTCTCATCAGTTCTAGAAAATTCTCAACCTCTCTTGCTTAAAACATTTCTTCTCATTCCTTCTATTATTTCTTCTGTAATTGTGATTAAATGTGCATGAAACCCCCTCCTCTATTCTCCATGTCTCTTAATTTTCCTTCTTTTTTTTTTCAGTGTTGGGATCACCCATTCTAGGCAAGTGCTCTACTACTGAGCTACATTCCTAGCACTTATTATTTTTAATCTCTGCATTTTTTCCCATGACAAACTCTGGGTGATTTTCTTTTTAAAAAATTATTTTTAATTGACAAATAAAAATTATATGTATTTATCATGTACAACATGATGTTTTGATATACATGTATACACTGTAGAATGGCTCAATAGAGCTAATTAATACATACATTACTTCACATAACTTAACCACTTTTTGTAGTGACAACTTAAAATATATTCTCTTTGTGTTTTTCAAAATATAATTGTTAACTACAGTCATAATATTGTATGATAAATCTCTTGAACTTACTTTTCACAACTAAAATTCTACATCTCCCTAACCCTGACCTCAGCCATTGGAGAGTTCTTCATTTTTATCTGATGTTCTTTCAAAATCTCTTGGACACTTCTCAAACTTTGTTTTTCTATGCTTTTATTTTTATTTTATTTATTTTGTGATGCTGGGGATTGAACCAAGTCCTCACAACATGCCAGGCAAGTGCTCTACCACTGAGCCACATCCCCAGTCCTTCCTGGAAATTTCTGAAAGTCATCTCATTTACACTTTTAACTAACTCTTTTATTTTCTTTAGACAAATTCCAGTGATAGAGAGGCTGAGAGAGAATGATGACAAGTTCAGGGCCAACCTGGCCAACTTAACAAGACTCGAAGTAAAATTATATATATATAATTTTATATTATATTTTATATATATATTTGGGGGCGATCTGTTAGTCTAGTACCTAAAATCTAATGCATTTCTATTTCTGCTGTTTATTGCTTCCACTGACTCATATTAATGGTAAGTTATCATTGTGTGTGTGTGTGTGTGTGTGTGTGTGTACAGAATGAGCTCAGTGTTTACTGTGTTTCTTTTAAAATATCTTCCAGGTAAGTAGAGACCTGACTATCCAAGACAACTTTAAACTAAATTTTTAGCTTAAGATTTTTCAGACCACTCTGGTGACATTTGGCAATTTGAAGCTTAAAACAAGTCCTGTCTGTTAGGACCCAAACCTCTGGACATCTCTATAAGCGTCAATAGCACAGCCAAAGCAGTGTACAGGTAAGTATGTCATCTGATTGGGTTCGAAGAGAAAGGGCTTGACCTATTTCTCCCAAGTCTCTCTCATTATTCTCATGCTGGGGAAATAATTGGGAAATTTCAATGTAAGTAAAACCAGCTACATAATTTGTGAGGGCCAAATGAAATGTGGAACCACTCGTTTATAAACTACCAATATTTTCAGAACCGTGCCAGCTGGACATTGAGTGGATTATAAAGCCCTTCAAAGTGTGAATTCCTGTGCAACACCCATGGAACCAGCCCTGTATATGAGGGAGGATGTTCCTTAAACAGATACTGCATCCTGGTCATTTCAGCATTCCTCAGAGTATTCAGTGAATGGATGAAGAATAAAGAATGTGGTGTAGGAACTTGACATTGGTGGTAAGAACATAAAATATTTACATATATAATTTCCATTTTTGATATCATTTTATAATTATTTTCTTTAAAATATATTATTGTACTAGTAAATATAAAATGAAGCCCCTCTACTAAATTTGTAGTATAAAATCATATACAGTATAATCTTACCTATGAAAAAGTATGGAATATAGAAATGTAGAATAGCCACCATAGTCTTCTTTCTCCTTCTCTAGTTTTTTTAGAATTGTAAATAATAAGAAAAAAACATTGAATTTTTTTCTACGCAACACATTGTAACCTACGGACCATCCTGATCTGCTGAAGCCAGGGGAGCCCCAAGCATCTTAGCCATCCCAGGAACCAGAGTCAAGTGGTACCTACTTGATCTCAGACTGTCCACATGGCTTCTTCCTGGAGAGGCTGAGCAGATCTTTGCCATATTTCTCTTCAATAGCTGCCCTAGGGGTACAGAAGAGAAAGGGTCATGGGTCCTGCTCAGGGCTCTTTGAACACACACACTACTGCCCTTGAAAGCAAGCTGTCCCTTTAGCTCAGATATAATGCCATTCTCTGAAATGCAAATCTCCCTCTTTAAAGCGGGGGACAATTACCAGAACACCAGGGGCTTTCATCTTTAAGGTAATATTCTCCACCAAGAAGTCCCCAGCATGGCTAACATGGCAAAGCTAAGGGGTTGGAGGGGTTGCTTTTTGTTTTAAGATGGGGGTCTCACTGTGTTGTTAAGGCTGGCCTCAAACTCCTGAGTTCAAGTAATCCTCTTGTCTCAGCCTCCCAAGTAGCTGTGATTACAAGCACAGCCACTGCCCCTAGCTTGAGTGTTTTATTTTTAATGGAGTAAGAAGTACATTCCTCAAATACTACACTCCTTGGGCCCAGCCCTCCTCCACCTTCTCAAGAGAGCCTTTTACCACCCTGAAGAGCTCTCACTGTCATTTCAAATGCACAACCTAACTGTACCAAAGAAAAGGGAATTTCAAGATACAAACTCTGCAGTTGGCATGTCTCACAAAATGTCTTACTACTTAGCATTACAGGGTCTGTCTAAAGCACTAAACACCTGCTTCTTCTTCTCTGCCTCCTCCCATTGCTCTCTGTCACCATCTCCACTTTTTGTCCCAGCTGAGGCATATCCAGACTATGTATTAGGTAAAGATGATGGAGGTTTCATCTTCATTTTCTGAAAGAAATCTTCAGATTTTTTTTTTTTTTTTGCAGAGGTTGGTACTGGGGATTGAATCCAGGGGCACATTACCACTGAGCTACAATTCTATCCTTTTTTATTTTTTACTTTTGAGATAGGGTCTCGCTAAATTGCTGAGGCTAGCCTGCAACTTATGATCCTCCTGCCTCAGCCTCCTGGGTTGCTGGGATTACAGTGTGTGTAATCACAGTGCAATTAGTGTGTGTGATTACAGTGTGGGATTACAGGGTGTGACACTACACCAGCCTTTTCCTTCAGTTTAAAAAAAACTCTGAATAATAAATGAATACATTTTCACTGCTAAAGATTCAAACAACACAGAGGTATAGAGTGGAAAGCACAAAGATCCCCTCGATGTTCTCCTCCAACCCTGCTTCTTTCCCCAGGGGCAGCCAGGGTTGAGTTTGGTGTGTGTCTTTTCCAGTCTTCTGCAGTATGTGCCTACACACATACAAAACTTTTTGTTTATCTAGTTGAGATCGTTCTATTATTTGCTGTTCCGTTTTTCACTGGTAATACATTGTATAGAATTTTCCCTTTCTGTATATAGAGATACACCATGCTCATAATATGGAGCGTAATATGGAGTTTTCTACAGTAAATACACCGTCTCCTGATTTGTTGCTACTTTCTCATTATGACCAAAAAATAAAAATAAATTATTGGGGATATAGATGTGTGTGTGTGTACATGTGTGTGTGTGTGTGTGTACAAACACATACACACACACACACACACACACAAACACACATCCATGGGTATGCTGAGTGTTTGCCTAAGAGTTCTGAGAAAGAGGATTTTCTAGACATATATGTATATATATATTTGGGGGAAGGAGTACTGGGATTGAACTCAGGGGCACTTGACCACTGAGCCACATCCCCAGCCCTATTTTGTAATTTATTTAGAGACAGGGTCTCACTGAGTTGCTTAGCACCTCACTTTAGGCTGGTTTTGAATTCAAGATCCCCCTGCCTCAGCCTCCTGAGCCACTGGGATTACAGGTCTGAGCCACTGTTCCCAGTTTAGACACATACTTTAAATCTTGAAAAATTATGACAAAATGCTCTCCAAAGAAGCCTTGTCAACTTATACTTGCATCTGAAGTGTCTAAGAGCTCACATACCCAGAAGCCCTCATCTCACTGGATATTCTCACTGGATATCAACACTTTTTTTAAAAAAAAATTGCTATCAGTCTGGGGAGGAGGCTTAAAAAAAAATAGGATCTCTGGGCTGGGGATGTGGCTCAAGCGGTAGCGTGCTCACCTGGTATGCACGGGCCGCTGGGTTTGATCCTCAGCACCACATAAAAATAAAATAAAGATGTTGTATCCGCCTAAAAACTAAAAAATAAATATTAAAAAATTCTCTCTCTCTCTCTCTCTCTCTCTCTCTCCCCCTCTCTCTTTAAACAAAAATTAAAAAAATAGTATCTCTAATTTTAATTTGCATTTCCTTTATTTCTAGTATGATTGAACACCATTTTATGTGCTTATTGGGGATTTGTTATTTCTTCTTCTATAAATTATCCAATTTTTTACTGTTCTGACTATGTATATCATATATATATCTTTATGTACTATAAATATAATATTTATTCTCATGTTACAAAGTTTCTCCTCTTCTATTATTTTTCTTTTCTTAATAATAACTTTATTTATTTATTAAAACAATACATATTCATTGTTTTTAAAAAATAAGAAGAAATGGCAAAAACACTATCCAAAATTCTACCAACCAAAAATAATTAGTGTTAACAGTAGGTGATGATTACAATGGACATTTCTTTATGGAGCTATTCGGATAAAATAAAATGAACAGACATAGATAAAAAAATTTTAAAGAATGAGACTATACTCTACAAACTTTTAAAACCTAGAGACAATCTGACTTTATTTGAATTTCATAGAAGAAAAGGAAACTGAAGAGAAGCTGAAGACATCTCTGAATTTAAATAATTGTTTCTTTGCCATAGGGGGGAAAAATGGTTTCTAAAAGGTCTTTCTCAGATTAAGAGAGAAAATTAGCTGGACATAGTAGTGCATAGTGGTGCACGTCTGTGATCCCAGCTACTTGGGAAGCTAAAGCAGGAGAACTGCAAATTCGAGGCCACCCTGAACAACTTAGTGACACCCTGTCTCAAAATAAGGCTGGGGACGTAGCTCAGTTGTAAAGCACCCTGGGTGAAAATAATTGGGAAAATCAAGGTGTTCAAATATTTCCTCTTTCCTTCTTTCCTCCTTTCAGCCAACTGCATTTGCTAGGCTATTGTGTCATTTGTCCTGCTGGTACTGTGGGCAGTCCTATCTATTTGCTCTGAGACTGTACAAATGAAGCCTCCTCCATGTCCCAATCTTACGAGTGCTCGGTAGCAGAGTTTGAGCATAACCTGATTTCTTCTCAGGCCTCTACTCTTGGACTCTATTTCTAAAGTTTTGCCAGCACCTGATAACTTAAAATGAAGTACACTTGAAACTGACTCTAGTTATAGGAAAAGATACAACTGACGAACTCTAGATAGGGCAGAGCGGTGGGAGGGGAAGGGAGGGGGCAGGGGGTTAGAAATGATGGTGGAATGTGATGGTCATCATTATCCAAAGTACATGTATGAAGACACGAATTGGTGTGAATATACTTTGTATACAACCAGAGACATGAAACATTGGGCTCTATATGTGTGATAAGAATTGTAATGCATTCGAGGTCATATATAAATTTTAAAAATTAATTAAAAAATAAAATTAAAAAAAAATTTGTAAAAGATGCAATGATATTCTGCCTTCTGGAATCCTTTTTTACTATATCTATATAGTGTCTAAATTATGACATTCTATAATGATCATCAAGTATTTTTTACATGTAAAAAGATGTTAAGACCATTTTCACTTTTTAAAAATATATAATGTACATGTATTTTATCTTTTCACAATTGTTTGTGTATTCAATTATTTATTTATTTTTACACTGGTGATTGAACCCAGGGATTCTTTACCACTAAGTTACATCCCTAGTCGTTTTTTTTGTTTTTTTTTTTTTAATTTTGATACAGGGTTTTACTAAATCGCACAGGATCTTATACGTTGGTGAGGCTGGCCTTGAATTTGTGATCCTCTTGCCTCAGCCTCCTAAGTCACTGGTATTACAGGTGTGCGCCACCATGCCTAGCTTTCTTTTATACCTGGCTTCCTTTCAGAATTATATGTGTTCAGAGTTCTTGAGAACCTGCATGATGATGCATGCTTATAATCTCAGCTACTCCAGAGACAGTGCAATCCCTGAGTTCAATCCCCAGTACCACAAAAAAAAAAAAAAAAAAAAATGGAGGTGGAGGTGGGGAGTGGTCCCCATGTGAAGACCAAAGGAAGCCACACGATGACGGGGAGTTTAGGAGTCCAGGGTCTATAAGCCAGGGCATTCCAAGAACTGGTGGTAACCCCAGAAGCTAAAAGGCATGCACAGAGCACATTCTCCCCTAGAACTTTCAAGAGAGCACCGTCCTGCTCTCACTCTTCCTTGGCTCCCCAGCCCTGACCCTTGCTCTTGGTGTCTGGCCCTGCCTCCCTCAAAGCACCTGGACAGTGCTCATTCCAGCCTCCAGGCTTGCCACCCTCCCACAGGATCCAGAAATTCCTTCCGGCCCAATACCAAGACCTCCTCCTCCATGAAGCCACCCTGTGAATGTATGGATCCTCAACAATCCATCCTTCTCACAGGGCCTTTTAGTATCATGCTACTTAGCATACTTTGGGGACTTATTACCTATTGTTTGCTGTTTCATTCATAGATCTTTTTGTTGTTGTTGTTGTTGTTTTGGTACTTGGATTAAACTAGTGATTCTTAACCACTTAGCCATATCCCGAGCACCCCCACCCCCAACTTTTCTTTTTTTTTTTTTTTTTTTTTTAATTTAGAAACAGGATCTTGAGGGCTGGGGTTGTGGCTCAGTGGTAAAGTGCTTGCCTTGAATGTGTGAGGCACTGGGTTCGATTCTCAGCACCATATATAAAAAAAATATCAAGGTCCATCAATAACTAAAATGAATAAATAAATAAATAAAAGAAACAGATCTTGCTAAGTTGTTGAAGCTGAATTTGAACTTGAGATCCTCCTGCCTCAGCCTCCTGAGCCACTGGGATTACAGGTGTGCACTACTGTGTCTGGCTTCATTCATAAATCTTTTCTCGCAAACTAGCTCCTAAGAACTTCAGGACAGAGATACCATTTACTTCTTGGGTATCATTTTGTAACTTATAGCAGAGGGTCTTCAGAACTGCTAAGCACAATCAAAACCAGCCAGTGATTCCTTGTCTGTGTGGGAACATCCCAGTTCACGGGGACACAGCAGCATACCTTTCTTTTAGAAATTCTTCGAACTCCTTGCAGTTCTTGCGGCCATTGTTCAGGTGCTGGATGATGCTGTCATAGCCGGTGGTGCTGAGGATGTCCGTACTCTGGTGGGAAAGAACATGACAGCATCAGACCAGGAACAGCATAGATGGCAGCCCCAAGACCTAGAGAGTGGAAGGAGCGGATGGGGTGGAAAGCAAGCAATGGGAGATTCCTGAATTGCTTTATCTCCAAGACATGTGGCCAGACTAGAAGCTGCAGTAGGGTTTTTCAAATGATGAAATTAAAGGGCCGCAAAACAGGAAGAAAGTGACAAAGGACTGAGAGGCACGTGGATGAGGAAGGAGGCTGTGCTCAAGTCCTTCTCTGGCCTCCACTCCTGCCCAGAAATGAGGCAAGTGCCTACTCTAGCCTTTCGGCTGTGCACAGCTTCACACTCAATGGGATATCCCAGACATCAGTCACTCCATCTTAACCTGAAACCGAAATTTAAAAACTGCCAAGAAAAAGAAACTTAAGATACCCTGTTCCCATCATCACCCCCATCTGCACTCAGGGTCAATTCTAGCTTGCTGCACTCAGGGCCATTTCCAGCTTACTCTTGTTTCTTATTAAAAAGATATAAAAACCCCTATTCAAATAGAACTGCTGCACCACTCTACCGGGCAGCCTGGCAGGCCTTCCCTGTCAAGAAACTTTGCTTTCTGAGCATGAGACTCTGTGTCGAGAGATTACTTTGATGTTCTGTCCTAACAACACTGATGGTGGAAACTGACTCCTGCTGCAGATCCATTTTAACCAGGAGCTATACAATTTTCAGTTTGTCCTTAAACTTGCCACTGAGCTTGACCCTGACAACTCTTCCCATAGCCAATTAGCCCTATAGAGAGTCCAAAGTATCTCTGCAAAAGGCAGGCAGCTCTGAGCCAGGAACCAGGAATCAGGCCTGAGAGTGGGAGAAAGTGGCCATCTGCCCATTGAAAAGTATGAAGGGGAGTCCAGCGGCCAGTGTGCTCCATGTCATCATGGGCCTCAATCTGGAGAAAAGTGTTACTTATATTTCTTTCTTTTTTTTCTTTCGGTTTTTGTTGTTGTTGTTGTTGTTGTTGTTGTTTTGTTTTTTGATTTTTGTTTTTTGGAAGGGGATACCAGAGATTGAATTTAGGGGCACTCAACCACTGAGCCACATCCCCAGCCTTATGTTGTATTTTATTTAGAGACAAGGTCTCACTGAGTTGCTTAGGGCCTTGCTTTTGCTGAAGCTGGCTTTGAACTGGTAATCCTCCTATCTCAGTCTCCTGAGCCACTGGGATTACAGGCCTGCACCACTGTGCCTGGCTTGCTTACATTTCTTAAATTAGCAGTTTGTTCATATTTTATTCTACTATGTCCTCCATAATGGAGGAAGCTGGCTGGCTAAGTCCTCCAAACCAGTAACTCCAGGTGGAGTACACTTTAAAAATCAAGGTTCCCGCCAGGTACGTTGGCGCATGCCTATAATCCCAGCAGCTCAAGAGACTGAGGCGGGAGGATCAAGAATTCAAAGCCAGCCTCAGCAACTTAGTGAGGCCCTAAGCAACTCAGCAAGACCCTGTCTCTAAATAAAATATAAAAAAGGGCTGGGGATGTGGCTCAGTGGCTGAGTGCCCCTGAGTTCAATCCCTGGTTTAAAAAAAAAAAAAAATCTAGGTGTCCTTAGTTACCCATACTGATAAATCAGGGGCTTGTAAACAGTATCAAAGTGTCCCCTATGAGGTTGGTTCCCTGTTTTCTACCCCATGAATACAACAGGTTGTCTGATTTGGACTCCAGCCCCCATAGACCAGGTTGTTTAGCCCTCCTCTGGGTGTGTCCTGGGAGCTCTAGACTCACAGTGGACCAGACAAAGAGGACTTGACCTTCCCAGCCCCAGTCTATGGAGGAAGGTGCAGCCCTGTGTGTGTTATGGTTTAGATGTGATGTCCTCCATAACAAATGTGGTGTGAGACAAAGCAAGAAGGTTCAGAGGAGAAAATGATTGGGTTGTGAGATCCTTAACCTAGTCAGTGAATTAATCCCCTGATAGGGATTAACTGAGTGGTAACTGAAGTGGTAGGGTGTGGCTGGAGGAGGTGGGGATTGGGGCGTGGCTTTGGGGTATCTAATCGTATCTGGAGAGTGGAGTCTCTCTGCCTCCTGGTCACCATGATGTGAGCTGCTTCCCTCTGCGGCATACTCTGCCACGATGTTCTGCCTCACCTCGAGCCCTGAGGAATGCAGCTGGCCTTCTATAGACTAAACCTCTGAAACCATGATCCCTCAAATAAACTCTCCTCCTCTAAAATTGTTTGGTCAGATCTTTTAGTGACAGCAGTGAAAAAGCTGACTAAAAGAGTGTGGAAGGAGAGATTTCTAAAGCTATGTCTCCACCCAGTCCTGGATACTAGAGAAACAGAATGTACTCTCTTCCATTTGCTGCCACTCAGGATATCCTGACTGAGCAGTGATCCCAGAGACCCCCAGCAAGATTAAGACCAGAGTCTGATTTCAACATGGCAACTGGAAATTTAAGAGCCCATATCTCACATCACATTGTTAAATGGATTTATATAAGCATCATAAATTTTACAAGTGGGCATATAAATCTAAGTTAGAAATACATTGAATTCTATGCTCTGTAACTATTCTTTAAGCATAGATTTAGATTTCGGGAAGTCCAAAGAAAGATCTTATAAACAGTATGCTACTCAAAGAACATCACAGTGAGCTGAGCATGGTGGCACATCAAAGCCTCATCTTCCACCTGCTGTCTCCTTGCAGACCCCTCTGTCTTAGCCTAGTAGGCTAAGACAGAGGGGTCTTACACTATCCTTCCCAAATCCAAATCTGGCCTCTCAAATCCTAGTTTTCTTGAAGTCTTCTCTCAGTAGCCACAACTCCCTCCTCTGGGTTCTTAGGGTACCCAGCATCTGAATTTGATCTTAAGTGCCACCCCTGTGAGTAATCTTTCTGTCCCAACTCTATTGCAAGTCCCTAGGGCTTTGTTCAAGTCTTGAACCACACCTGCACCCTTCCCCCTGGAAATCTATCTTAATGCTATGCACACCAAAGGCCCACAGTGAACATCTGTAGAATAAAATGCCTACTTTTCTCCCAGCCAGATATATCAGAAGGGAATAATGTACATAAAGACTCCTTAGTGGAATGAAGGAGTGGGGACAAAGGGTCAATTTCAAAGTTGGTTTGTAGACAGAATTCTTTGTTCGTCTGACTTCTCTGTCTCACAATGTGCATTTGGAAAGGTGGTTTTCCTCTTCTTAACTAAGGGTACAGATACTCTGAGAAGGACAGGAAGAGCAGAGCGAGACCTGTTTCCTGAAAACACAAAACACCAGACCTCCCAGCTGTCAACTGTAAAAATAACAGAACGGTCACTTCCAGAGAGTGACTGGGCTACAAGGCAACCAGGAAAGCAAACTTCTAGAAAAAGACAAAAAAAAAATATATATATTCAAGGCTGAGTTCAAAGGGGTGGAGGATTTGGTCTGGAAACTTCTGACTATGCTACTCAAAGAACATCACAGTGAGCTGGGCATGGTGGGTGACACATGCCTGTAATCCCAGTGGCTCTGGAGGCTGCAGCAGGAGGATTACAAGCTCAAAGCCAACCTCAGCAAATACGAGGTGCTAAGCAACTCAGTGAGATCCTGTCTCTAAATAAAATCCAGAATAGGGCTCGGGATGTGGCTCAGTGGACAAGTACCCCTGACCCTAACCCTTGGTACCAAAAAAAAAAAAAAAGAGAGAGAGAGAGCATCACAGTGAGCCAACTGGCAGAAATCAGTCTAAGAGAGCCAAGCAAGAAAGGAATGCACATGCAGTCTATGATGCACCAAGAAAGCATCACAGATCTACCATCAGAAACAGTGTGTCAGGGCTAGGAATGTAGCTCAGTGGTAGAGCACTTGCCTAGCATGCATGAGACACTGGGTTCAATCCTCAGCACCACATATAAAATAAAGGTATTGTGTCAACCTACAACTAAAAAATAAATGTTTAAAAAAAATAGTAGACCAGACAGATTCACTATTGAATTCTATCAAATATTTAAGGGGAGAAATAACACCAATCTTACCCAAACTCTTTCAGAAAAAGAGGAAAGACTTCTCATTTTATGAGTCTAGTATAACCTTTGTTACAAAAAAAAAAAAAAAAAAAAAAGACAAAGGCATTACAAGAAAAGAGTATTCTCAGAAAATCTTTCTCACAAGAACAGATGTAAAAATCTCTACTGAATCATTATATCATCTCCAGGAATAAATAAATGTATAACACACCATGACCCAAGTTATTTATCTCAATAATGCAAGGTTAATTTAATATTGGAAAATCAATCACATTATTCACCACATTAACAGAAAAAAGGATATGGCTCAGTGGTTGAGTACCCCTGAATTCAATCCCCAGTACAAAAAAAAAAAAAATATATATATATATATATATATATATATATATATATATATATTTTCCTTTTCGCCAAAAAGCTCATGAAAAATTCCTCAACATTATAGTGAAATCCAATTTAATGCCCACAAGAACAGAGTCAACATTGAGTATAATCAAGAATGATGAACAACCAAATTGTTTCCTGCACTGCTTATAGGAGTATAAAATGGTACAATCGTTTTGAAAAAAAAAAAGTTTTGGGCAATGTCTCAAAAAGCTAACGTGCACATACCCTATAACCCAAAGTTCCACTCCTAAGCATTCACCCATGAAATGAAAACATGCATCAAGAAATAGAAAGAATATTCATAAGAACGGTATTCACAGTAGCCAAAAACTGGAAACAACCCAAATGTCTAACTGATGAATGGATAGATAGCCATTTCTCCATGAGCGAAAGATGCTAGACACAAACAGAATTTACCGCACAGTTCCATTTACATGAAGTTCTAGGACAGGCAAGATGAATCTGTGTAAAAAGAAATAAGAACAATGATAGTTCAAAGCCAATATGGCTACCGGTGCTGCTACCAAGGATCCACGTGTTTGGTTCTGTGCTGCACCTAAAGCCCAGACCCATCAGGATGCTCACTACACATAAGCTCTCCAGTCACGGGCT